ATCACATGTAATTATATACACGAGAATATCTATTGAATCAAGAACATTAAAACAAATATGTGTCCATATTAATTATATGTGATTAAATACTTATAATTACATATGATTAAATATATGTGAAATTTTATTGAAACGAAAAGTCAAAAATGTATATTGTTCATATAAATCATATGTGATTGGATACATATAATCACATGTGGTTATATGTATCAAATCACATATGATTAAAATTGACAAACAAGAAAAAAAAATTATTGAATCTAGAACACGATAATGACATATGTAATTAAATATATCTAATCACATGTTATTATATGTATCTAATCACATATAATTTATATGGACAAAAAATATTATCTTTATAAATCATATGTGACTAGATACACATAATCACATATGACTATATATACATAACCAAGGGTGGTGGTGGTATGTAGTGATGTATGGTGGTGGTATGTAGTAGTGGTGGTGAAGGGTAGTGGGGGTAACATGTGGGGTGGTGGTAGGGGTGGTAATTGTATTAGGTGATTGGTAATGGTGATGAGTGATGGAGACAGGTGGTGGTGATAGGTGGTGGGTGGGTGGGTGGTGGTAGGGGTGGTGATGGTGTATGGTGGTTTTGGTAGGTAATAGGTGGGGTAGTGATGGCGGGAGGTGAGTGATGGTGATGCGTGGTGATGTTGGGTGGTGGCAGTGGGTGGGTGAGGGAGGTGGTAGTGCGTCGTGGAAGTGGAAGTGGGTGGTGGTGATGGGTTGTAGTTGGTGGTTGTGACGGGTGGTGGTCATAATGATGGGTGGTAGTGATGGGTAGTGGAGGTAGGTGGGTAGTGGTTGAGGTGGGTGATGAGGGTGGTGGTGGTTTTGGTTGGTGGTAGGTGAAGGTGATGGTGATGAGTAGTGGCGGTCAGTTGTGATGGGTGGTGGTGGTGGTGATGGGTGGTGGTGATGCGTGGTGATGATGGGTGGTGGTGGTGGTTGGTGGTAGTGGAAGGTAGTGGTCATAATGGTGTGTGACGGGTGGGTAGTATTGATGGGTAGTGGATGTGGTTGGTGGTGGTGGTTGTGGTGGGTGGTGGTGATGATGATGGATGGGGTTGGTGGTAGCGAGTAATGGTGGTCGGTGGTGATGGTGGATGGTTTCCATATCTGGTAGTGTCGGGTGGTGATGACGGGTGGGTGGGGCGGTAGTGCTGGGTGGTGGCGGTAAGTGGTGATGATTAGTGGTGGTTGGTGTTAGTTGTAGGTGGTGGTGGTTGGGACGGGTGGTAGGGTTGATAGTGACAGGTGGTGGTGGGGGATAGTGTTGGTCAATGGTGATAGTTGGTGGAGGCAGGTTGTAGTGGTTGGTGGAGGCAGGTTGTAGTGGTTGGTGGTGGTTGTTGGTAGAGGTATGTGGTGGTCTTAATTGTGGGTGGTAGTAATGGGTGGTGGAGATGGGCATGTGGTGGTTGTGGTGGGTGGCGGTGGCAGATGGTGGTGGTGGGTGTGGATGGTGGTGATGGGTGGTGGAAGTGGGTGGCTGTGATGGGTAATAGTGTTGGCGGTATCCATGGTTGGCGTTGGCAAGTGGTGGTTTTCGTAGGTGGTTGTGATGGGTAATGATGTTGGTGATGGATGGTGTTGTTTGGGTGGTGAGAGGTGTTGGTTAGAGGAAGATTTTTTTTTTTTTTTTTTTTTTTTTTTTTTTTTTTTTTTTTTAATTCTTTACTTATTTTTTTGATATATATTAAAATTATTTGATGATTTTAATTTAAAAAAATTATGTTATCCAAATTTTTTCGCAATAAGAAACTTTCTCGATTTGAACGCTCCATATATATATATATATATATATATATATATATATATATATATATATATATATATATATATATAGGGAAATCTCCAATAAAGTCCTAAAATTTTGGCCCGGTTTACGTTTTAGTCCTAAACTAATTTTTGTTTACGAAAAAGTCCTAAAAACTGGCAAAAGTATGTATTTTGACCCCTTTTGACTGGTTGAAACTGGCAACAAATTAATTTGGGATTATTTCATAAACTAACCTAAAATATTTGGACAATTTCACAAAATGATCTAAAATATTGAGATTTTTTTTGCAAAAAAAATATTAGGACTTTTCTGCAAACAAAAACCTTATTATTATTATTATTATTATTATTATTATTATTGTTATTATTATTATTATTATTATTATTATTATTATTATTATTATTATTATTATTATTAACAAGTATACTAATTTTTAAATTCATTATTATTAATATTTTTAATATTACATATAAATACACTTAAATAAAAATATATTAAAGCAATTATTTAAAGGTGAAGGTGGTGGTGATGGTAATGCTTTAAGCATTGAAATCACTGCTTGTATGTCCTCACTTTGTATATGATCATTTCACATTTTTTATTATTGTTTTCAATTCAAAATATTAACACTTAACAATTTAAAAGAAGTTGCCTATTTATAAAATTATGTATAAATAGTTTAAGATAAAAGGATTTCTCACTTCGTATATAAAATTTCTTAAGGTAGAATGATTTCTTTTCAAATCCAACAGATCCACAATAAATATTTACATTGGTGTCCCATATCAAAATTCGAAAATATTAATTAAAATATTTTATTTAATAGAAAATAATATGATTTAGTTTGCTTTATCACACTATATCTGCTATGTTTCCAAAAAAAAAAAAAAATAAGGATAAAGTAATGAAAAAGAGCAACACACATGTTAGTAATTCAAAAATACTTACACACAAAACATACATGCATATCACATGCTCATTATTTGTAAACAATTTGAAAAATCAGTAGCTTCTTTTAAATTGTAAAATGTTAATATTCTGAATTAAAAACAATAATAACAAATGTGAAATGAGCATATACAAAGTTAGAATATACAAACAGACAGTCATAATTACAAAGTTTAAAGCTTTACCATCTGCTTAACCTTCACATTTATAAAATGTCTTTAATATTTTTTTAATTTAAATGTATTTATATGTATTATTAATAATATTAATAATAACAAATTTAAAAAATAGTATACTTATTTATATTTTTAATATAATAATAATAAGGTTTTTGTTTGCAGAAAAACCCAAACATTTTTTGTTTTTGCATAAAAGTCCCAATATTTTGGGTCAATTTATGAAATAGTCCTAAATTAATTTGTTACCGGTTGAAACCAGTCAAAAAGGGTCAAAATGCAAACTTTTGCCGGTTTTTGGGACTTTTTTTGTAAACAAAAATTAGTTTATGACTAAAACATAAATCGGGCTAAAATTTTAGGACTTTATTGGAGATTTCCCTATATATATATATATATATATATATATATATATATATATATATATATATATATATATATATATATATATATATATATATATAATATATATATATATATATATATATAGTTTCCGGAGAACCCGAGAACTAAAAATGGAGCGTTAGATCAAAAGTAATTTATTAAGGGCATGATTGTAATATTACCAATCTCATTTAATGTTTTTTTTTTTTTTTTTTTTTTTTTTGTTATTGGAAATACTAATTGAAATGTCTAAAAATTTACATAATAAATCAAAATTTTGGATTTTTTTTCAAAAATAGTATTTTTCAGCTTTTTTTTTTAAGTGCAAAATTTTTAATTTTTTTTTTTATAGAAAACATGATTTTTTGAAAAAAAATTGAATTTTTTAAAAAAAAAACCGAAATTTTTTTTAAAGTATTTAAAAATCAATAAAAATTAGAAAAAACTGGAATATTTAAAAAATACTATAATTTTTTAATAAAAAAAAATCAACATTTTAGGTACATATGTTCATATTTTTACAAATGCATATATGCATATTTTATATACTATAATATTTGTATGAAAATAAGAAGAAAACTCATTTTATTTACTAATTTATAACACAATAAAGTAAGTATTTTATTTGATACAAAATAAGATATAAAAAACACAAATGTGCTATAAATTTTCAAACTGTTTTCATGTCTTCGTGTCAATATTTTCATATTTTCTTCAAGTTATCATTTTTCACGTCTTCAATATTCACTACAATTTCTTCCACATCTACAAGAAAATTTAAAAAAACTGATTGATACATAAACACTCACAAAAATACATATGTGATTTACATGTGATTAATATATGAATCACAATACATATGAATTACATGTGATGCATATGTGAATTACATGTAAATCCTATTTAATTTATATGTGATTCATATGTGATCTATATGTGATTTACATGTGAATCAAATGTAATTCATATGTGAATTACATGTGAATCACATGTAATTCATATGTGATTTACATGTGAATTACATGTAAATCACATGTAATTCATATGTGATTTACATGTGAATCACATGTAATTCATATGTGAATTACATGTGAATCATATGTAATTCATATACGATTTACATGTGAATCACATGTAAATCATATGTGATTTACATGTGAATCAAATGTAATTCATATGTGAATTACATGTAAATCAGATGTAATTTATATGTGAATTACATGTGATTTACTTATCATTTTTATGTGAATTATATGTGATTTACATGTGAATCACATGATTGAAACT